AATACTGAAGTTCAGTAAAAATATGTTCAGAAATAAATATTGCAGAGAAAGTGGAGATTGTACTGAAACAACTTATTTCTATAAAAATAATCAAAGTACCCAAACTACTCTAGCTGCAATAAAGTTATTAGTTCTTGGTTCATCACTATTACAATCTGATTTTTCAGTGAATAGATTATGTGGGCATTAGCCACTTGTGAACATCTCATTTGTTCCATGTGCATTTTCATACTTGACATATTCATTCTTCAGTACACATCTTTCATATTAGTAGTATATTGTTTGGGTTGAATCTACAAAGCAAATCTAGACTCCCTTGCTTGTACTGCTGTTGATAACCAGATAAAAATTTCATTTCACTTGTTATGGATGCAAAACAAGTCTACGCTCACACAAACTGCACAGGAATATTAGCGTTAGCACATTATTTCCAAACTTCTGAAACTTCATCATCAATAATGCTCTATAGAGCCACGTTAACTAAAGTTTGGTTGTTTTTAAACAAACAGGAAAATCACACGTGCACATGACTGAAGGGCTAGAAATGTATTGAAGGTTCCATAAACAACTTAATTCTGATCCTCTGTCTCTGCCCAGGGGTTCACTGTAGGTCAGAACCACATTAAGGCAAATATATAAAAATTAATTGGGGGGTGAAAATTTTCACTTTTTCCAAACAAAGGACTTTTTTGACAAATTCATTCAGAAACTCTGAGGCAGCTCTAGTGTCCGTATAATACATATAAATATACTTTTTGGATGAAACCAGAAAGCAATGGTGTGGTTTTTGTTTGTTTTTTTTTGTTTTGTTTGGTTTTTTTTTAGTCCCTCCCCCTTTCAGGTAAAATGGAAAAACTGTTTTGACACTGGAGCTCAGCCTGAGTTCCAGTCTGTGGGGTTGTATGTGATAGATGATATTGTTCTGTAGATTTTGTTTCTAGTGTGTAAGCTTGCGGCCAATACTGGAAGTGTGGATGAAGCATCTTAGTTTGGTATGGTAGTTTGGTATAAGGGGGCTGTGGCTGGATAGGTAGAAGTATAAATAATACTCAGTTCCACTAGTGCTATTATATACTTGATCACCAACAATCAACTTGAAAGACTGTTTCTCCACCTTTCTTCATGTGTGAGAAGGGGGGTGGGGGGGAAGAGGTGCTGGGGAACTGTGACTGCGAGGGAGGGAGGGGAGGGGAGCAGAAGAGGAGGGGCCAGGGGCTAGCCTCCGCCCTGCTCACCGTGCTGCCAGGGAGTTGTGCTGGCTCCTCTGCAAGCCTGTCCTGACCTCGCTTCCTGGCAGGAGCTCGGGGGCCAGAGGGAAGGGTCCTGCGGGCTGGATGTGGCCCACGAGCCGTAGTTTGCCCCCCTCCGCTCTAATGGCAAAGCCTTCCCCATGTTTAATGCCAATAGGGACCTAAATTCCATGGCAAAGTTTTTGCATCGCCTTGGTGGTGCAGACTGGAAACTCTTCAATAGTTCCATTTACATTAAAAATGGACATTTGGGATTGTGGGCAAACACATTAGCTGGATATTTGCACTAAAGCGATCAGCTGTTAAATAGTTAACAATTTTGAGGCATGGTTCGGGGTCTCCAGACTCAGGAAGAAACCACTGCATTGGCTGAGACTCTGCTCACATTTCCAAGGCTCTCTTCACAAACAGGAAGACATCATTTTGTTTGTTGTTGTTGTTTAGATGAATTCTACAATTTCGCAGTAAGGGGCAGTTCCAGGGCATCATGGAATACATGGGGCTCTATTTGTGTTAGCCGGTATGAGCTGGGATAGAGAATCTGTGCCCTTTCTCTGTGAGCCAGTAGGGGCTAAGAGCTCTGTCGAAACAGCGGTGTGTGAGGAGGAAGTGCTCTAGTCTTTGGTAATTTGCTGTGGCCAGCTGAAGGAGCTGCAATTCACCTAATTAGCTCAGAGAGAGAGGGCTGCATCCGTGTGGGCCTTGGGGAAGAAAGGAGCACAGAAAGATCAAGGGATAGAAGAGAACAGAGGAGTGAAATCCAAGTAGTGAGGGAGACAGCACACACAAAAACAGGGAAGTGAATAATAGCTGACAGAGAAGGTGTTATATTTGGATTAGCTCTTCTCTATTTTGGCCCAATAGCAAGAGTTAAATAGAGGGGCTGCAGAGTGCCATTTAAAGTGGGGGAGGATACACAGAGGCGGGTGGAAGAACGAATCTGCCCCACAGGGTGGTGCGGTCAGGGGGCGGGGAGCAGGGGGAGTTCCGGGGGGGGGGGGAAGGGGGGGGGGGGGGGGGGGGGGGGGGCAGGGGGTCTGGGCCCTCCTGCGGGGGACAGGGGCAGAGCAAGCCAGGGCCCCCCTCCACCACCAGCGTGCTTGGCCCCTGTCCCCAGCAGCCAAGCCCAGACAGGGAGCGAACCCTGCCCGACTGCCAGGGAGAGCAGCCAAACAAGCAAGGGAAATGCACAAGGAAAGGACTGAGCCCCCCCTCCCCCGTTTCCCCCACCCCACAGGTAATGTGGGGCAGGGAGGGATGTATAGAGGCCAGGGGGGCGGTCAGGGGGTGGGGAGCAGAGGAGATTGGCTAGGGGCAGGGGACCTGGGGCTGGGGAGCAGGGGAGATTGGATAGAGGCAGGGGACCCGGGGGTGGTCGGGGCGGGGGACCCGGTGGGATTGGATAGGGGATGGGCGTCCTGGGGGGGGATGGTCAGGGGGCAGAGAGCAGAGGTGTTTGGATAGGATGTGGGAGTCCTTGGGGGCAGTCAGGGTTGGATGGAGGTGGAGGTTCCGGGGGGCTGGATAGGGGGCGGGAGCCAGGCCACACCTCGCTGTTTGGGGAGGCATAGCCTCTCCCAGCCTTCGCTACCTGGCCCTCCATACAATTTCTGTACCCAATGTGGCCCTAGGGCCAAAAAGTTTGCCCACTCCTGCATTAGACCATCAGTGCAGTTCTTTTCTCCCTCCTCTCCTGTCTGTCACTACACCACTGGCTGGGAGGGATTTTGGAGCAATCATAGTGCTGTGTTAGTAGGAGCAGCAGTGGAGTGGAAATGCAGTCCTTTACAGCACTCTTTGAAAAGCCTGTTCTTCCAGTTGCTGTGCCAGCAAAGTGGCTTGAGCACCACAGGTTAACTGTGCTGGATGGGTCATGGCAGGTTCAGTTAATATCCCACTGTGGGATCTCAGGAAAAGTTGAGGATGTTTACTCTGTCCAGATAACGAGTAAGTTAAATCAATACCTTTGTGCCATATTGTGCTTCAAGATAATTTTGTCAAACAGAGCTAAGTCAACTGGGGAGTGTTTTTTCCAGTGTTTATCTAAAACATAAAATCAATAGTGTGACAAGGTGGTTTTTTTTAAACCTGTAGAACCAGGATCTGAAGCACTATAAGGAGTCTAGCATTTCATAAAACAGAGGTGGTATTCACAGGCAGAACTGTCAGTAGCCATGAATCACAGGGCTCAATAAGCATTATTACAGACTTTCAAAAAATCTTGTGCGACTGATGGTCTCCCCCCAGACTTAACAAAAAACAATATTGAAGGAATAATATATACAAGAACATTACAAACCGAATTGGGTAAGTATACGCGCTTTATCCTATTACTATAGAATTACCCAAAAGAACATTCTTTCCAGTACTGCCACATTCACAAATAAATTGTACATTTGTTAACCCGGGTCATCTAATAACTACTCAATCCTTGGAATTTTCCTCAAACTTATCCAAAGTGGTAACATTTCACTGGAGTTCTTTAGGACTTATAGGATTCCTAGATCTCCACTTTTTATTCAGTAGCTCACTCTCTAATGTGAAGACACAAACTCCAGTTTACTCTGGTTCAGGTCAAACTCCATCCAGTCTCTCAAGCACTGTGTACTAGTTACTTGCCCCCACTCTAGAACTTCATTCCAAATATTACAGAAACTCTGGCAACTCTAGATTGCCCTCTCTAGAAAGCCCAACGGCTACAGATGCAATATTTATAACACTTAGGTACATGCTCAGATCCAATTTAAAATAAGGGCTACCACCTTTCTTCTGTCCCACAAAATAACAAGAATAAGTTTGTTCACTTTATATTCAGGCTCTGGTAAGACTTTCTTGAATCCACACTAGTTTTCTAATGAGAGCGTGTTTGTTTAAACTTTTTTATATTGCATTGCACAGGTAAATGGTGTTTTGCTATGACATGCAGGTTGACACAGGTCAGCCACATAGTTATGTTTTTGCCTCTACTTGTACGAAATTTGGGTTTTTGCTCATGCAGAATCATTGTGTATGAGAGTGCTAAAATAATCATTGCACTTTAAAAGCTGTTAGTCCAAAGTTCGGCTTTTGTCTAGGGAGCTATAGTACAGATGTGCATTTCAGATCTGCATTTCAGTTCTACTGTTTAGACTCTAATAGTATGCAGAAGCACTAGGTGCATTCCAATTGAGGGGGATGGTCTCTGTGCTATTTCTTATGGAACCTGTGAATAACTTACATTCTTGCTGGTCACTAAAGAAACAGCAAATGAACTCTTTCTTTGAGCCCTATCTTGTTGTCTCCAGTGAACTGGACCATTTTATTATCTTAGAATGTGGACAGAAAGACCATGTGGTTCAATAAGATGGAACACCTTCGGTTCAGTGGAGGACTCTCCACATTATTCCTGCTAACATTACCTAACCTTTTCTTAACTATCTACTGGAATGGAAGGCCACAAATAATTTGATATCTGTGTTTGATGTCTATGTATGTATGTTTTATCATCAAAAAGTCACAAGTCGGAGACCTAAAAATATATTTGAGTTTCTCGGCGCCTTTCGTATATAGAAAGGTTTTAGTGTTCAGAGATCTGGGGCAAGTCCTCTGTATGAAAGGAATGTTTCAGCCCATCCTCCCACGTACATATGCACAGGCAAATCAAAACGATCGGTCTCTCCACTATATCATAACAGATTTGGGACAAATCCATGTATTTTGTAAATGAGGTGGCATTACTGAACTGCTCACCTGTTATGCTTTCCTTTTCAGAATCAAGGCTATTGAAAGCCCCAACAAAGATGATGACACACAGTGGCTGACCTACTGGGTTGTGTATGGCATCTTCAGCATAGCAGAATTCTTCTCTGATATCTTTCTGTCCTGGTTCCCTTTCTACTACATGCTGAAGGTTTGTTGGTTCTCCCTTTTCCCCTTAAAATAAGAATCTCAACATATCTAATGTAGAATCTACTAAAGAAGTAGATGGCAATAAGATTCCCCAATACTGGGTGATAGTTAACTTTTAAACTGATTAGCATATAAATTGTCACTTTGGCACAATGAGAGTGAACTCTCGAGGTTAGGGGGAGAATGAAGAGAATGTCAAAAGTTGCAGGGAGGAGGAGCATAGCATGTACAGCATAGGGAAGTTGATTCCCTAGCCAAATTCTTTAGCTAGGCTGAGACAAGGTGACTGTGTGTGCCCATGCAGTGAAGAGACCCAAGGCATTTGCCCCACTTTATGGGATTAGCAGAAGTAACTCTGAAGACCGCAATAAAAAGTATAAATCCTGTGTATGGGGAGAGGGAAGCGTGTGACTCAGAGGGTGAAGATATAGATTTGGATCATATGGGCTTCAGATGTCCTTTAATGTGACCTTGTCTTTCTGAAAGAGCAGAGCTGGAGTTCCAGTACCTTGTCACTAAACTATGTTTGCAGCACCATGAACGCTTTCAGCAGGCTGTAAATAATCAGCTACACTTTAACTACAAACTACAACTTGCCTAACATGCTGCAGGCTGTCTTTGCCAACAAAGATGTGATATTACCAGACTTTCAAACATTACATTGTTTGTTCATTTCAATAGGCTATTTTTTAATACACTTCTGGGTGGAGGAAGATCCAGGTAACTAAGTAGCTTTTTAACTGAGTAATTAACTGTTATGTACTTTCTGGGTGGGCTGCTTTTCTCCCTCCCCCCATATCTCTGCGCTTAGCTATTTTTGTCACAACTGTTTGCAAAGAATGCTGAATTCTAAGTGTGTGTTTAGTCCATCAGGGTTCTTGCAATTCTGACTTGCTGTTAAAATTGTATGATTGTAATATGATACCAGGTTTGATGTTCTTTCCCAGGAAACACCTTATGTTAAAGCCAAGATTCTACTCAAAGCCCTTAACTGAACTGTTCAGTTGATCCTGGCTAAAGATTCAGAAGGAAACTATTGTCCCTCTCTTGAAAGGGCCATGCTTCTTTCTAGCAAGGGTCCAGTTCATTAATGCAATGTTAAGACTTTTTATTCATTGCAGAAAAGTTTTTTTTGTTTGTTTTTTTTTAAATCAAGTTAACTATCTTGATGTAAAATCCTAGTGGAAAATAAGACATGGTAGTTTTTACCTCTGTGTCTCTAGTTGAAATAAACCCCATGTGTGAGGTGTAGAGTGAATCTTGGGGTGTGGTGATGGTGGTGGTTGGATTTTTTTGCGCAGTCAACTCTCAGCCTAGGACTCAAAAAGATCAGCTTGCTCACTAGACTGGAATCTGGAGAGCTTTGAAACTCAGTACTATAATTTTTTTACCTGAACAAAAAGATGAAAAAAATATTAAATTTGCCTTCTAACTCCTTTGATACTTTCTTTTTATTTAATTGAATAGGAATATGCCACTGTGACAACTTGATTATGAAAACTACAACAGAAGATTTACTCCCTCAAAAGAATTGAAAATCAATTAAAACTTACTTGATTTCCTCTCCTTGTAATGATCAAACTGTCTTAGACACTATCATGCAGAGAGCCATGTAACTACCCAAATGATAATTAGATGTTTTTCCCCGAAGGCCATTTCTTCACCTACCTCAGTAAAGAATAGCTGTAACAACATGATCTAATGAATTTCCCAGTAGGAAATCTGAAGTATAGCAAAGAAAATGGAGAAGTGGCAAAAATCCTTTTCTGAAAGGACAACATGATTGCATAGTTAACTTTAAGCAATGCTTCAGCAATGCATTTGGATTTTGATATGGCTAGAGACTTCTTTAATGTTTTTAAATAAATAAATACTACTGAGGATTCTGTGATTATGGGAGACTTTAACTTCCCAGATCTAGATTGGAGGACAAGTGCTATAATAATAGTAGGGCCCAGGTTTTCCTGGCTGTGATAGCTGACATTTCTTCACCAAATAATTGCTGAACCAACAAGAGGAGATGCTGTTTTAGATTTGGTGTCGGTGAGTAGTGAGGATCTTGGAGAAGAACTGGCTGTAGAGGAAAACCTTGGTTAGAGTGATCATGAGCTAATTCAGTTTAAACTAAATGGAAGAATAAACAAAAATAGATCTGCAGTTAGGGTACTTGATTTCAAAAGAGCTAACTAACCAAAAAAAAAGGGGGGGGGGGAATTAGTTAGGGAAGTGGACTGGACTGAAGAATTCAATTATCTGAATGTGGAGGAGGCTTGGAATTATTTTAATTCAAAGTTACAGACACTATCTGAAGCCTGCATCCAAAGTAACGGGGAAAAATTCATAGGGAAGGGTTGCAAGGTGGATGAAGATGAGCAAGCATCTCAAACCAGGTGATTAAGAGAAAGCAGAACACCTACAAGGAATGGAAGATGGGCGGGATCAGCAAGGAAAGCTACCTCTTGGAGGTCAGAAAGTGTAGAGAGAAAGTGAGAACTGCCGAAAGCCAAGCAGAGTTAGACCTTGCAAAGGGAATTAAAATCAGTAGTAAAATTTGCAGGTTTAAACTAGTGTAGCTGGCAAATTCTGTGCAACTTTAAATCATGATTTGAGGACTTCAGTGACTCAGCCAGCGGCTGTGGGTCTATTACAGGAGCGGGTGGGTGAGGTTCTGTGGCCTGCAATGTGCAAGAGGTCATACTAGATGATCGTCATGGTCCCTTCTGACCTTAAAGTCTGAGTACACTGAAAATCTGTTCATGAATAGTTAAATAAGATGACCAATCCCTCTTCCTCAGGAGTTTTCTAAAGCTTACCAGCCTCCAGAGGTGCTGCTATAAAAAGATCTGTATTTACCCCAATTTCTGAATTCTAATCCCTTGATAGCACAGCTTCTATATTCTAGGCAGGGTTGTTCCAACCACCTATTATTAAGATTGCCTGACACTTCTCATTATAAGGCCCTGCTTTTAGTTGCTTATAACTTTGCCAAACTTCAACTGTTCAGGCTGAAATTTCCCAAGCTGTGTGTCTGCATCAGGCTGAAATAAATGTATTTGAATAAAAAAAAAAAACACAAAGTTTCAACCAAAACTATTCAGTCATTCTTGAGAATATGGTTAGGAAAAAGTGTCTTGCCCATGTAAATTCTTAATACAGTTTCTCCCAGAAGTTCTATTGCCTGCATGCTTTGGAGCAGTGACTTGAAATTTGGCAGTAAGGGTGACCTTTGTTATTACTGTGAAAACCTGCCCAAACTTGGCCAAGTTACAAGCCTGTGAAAAATTGCAGTTCGCATACATTCAGTAGATATGGAAAGTTTAGCCTTTTAAAATTTTCAAAAATTCTTTGTGCATTGAACATGTTCCATCCCCTACATGGGACCTCATTCAATATACGCCACTTCCCCACCCTGTGTGGCTGAGCATGCTCCAGCCAACAGCTGCAGGGGTGAAGCAGGACTTTCCCTGTGACAGCTGCTCTCAGCTAGAGAGAGGCCCTAGAACTGAGCTCTCAACGACCCCCTTCCTGCTGGTGCCCAGACAGCATGGAGAAGGAAGCTGCCTGACTCGAATGCATAGGGGACAAAAAGTCAGATGAGGGGAGGAAGTGGAATAGATTGGAACAAGGAGTTTGAGACTGGGACCAGTGGGGGAGGGAAGAGAGAGAAACTGGGAGTTCAGGGTGAAAGGGAGACTGGGACTGGCTGGGAAAGGAAATTGGGACTGAGAGTTCTAGGCAGGCAGTGATTGGACAGGGAGTCTGTGAAGGGAGTCTAGACAAGGGGTGCTGATTGAGCCAGTAGGATAGGACTGGGAGGAGAAGCTGGGGTGGCAAAGCAGAAGAGAACAGGGACAGTTGGAGGGTACCGGGTAAAAGGGGCCAAACTTTTGGGCAGGGAGAGGAAAAGGAATGGGCAAGAAGGATCTGATCACTCCCTTTCAGAACCTCGAATTGAATTCCTGAGTATCCTCATTCCTCTGCTGTGAGCATATCTGTGAAATCACTTGCAAAATATGTCTTGTCCACATAGAGGATGACAACCTAATATTGCTGTCAGTTACTCCATTACCTCACATGGCAGAAGCCTGTATTCTGAATCTAAAGGTTCCAATCCTGCCAATGACCGATATGGCTGTCAACATGATTATACATGATGGGATGTTTTTTCAGTTTGCTTTTTTAAAAAAACTTTGGAAATTGCACCAAAAATCTACACTAAAAGAACATTCAGGTTGCAAAATCAAGCACTTAAAAAATTAAGAAATACCAGGATTAAGGTGCAACCTTATTTCAGCCTATTTGTGTATGTGGGTTATCATACAGTCTTGAATTACTGTCTCCCCCCGCCCCCCACCCCTGCACCGTACCTCATTCAGTGTATAAGATGGATGGGGTTCACTTAAATGAGCACCTATTCAATATTTTGTTTTCTCCTTGTTCAGTATGTGGCTTAGGTCTGCCTTAGTGCTTCACCAATGTTCATTAATTATCTTCACAGCACCTCTGTGCGGTGAGTGGAGTGGTGGTTATCCCCATTTTACAGTTGGGGAACTGAGATGCAGATATTAAACTCAAAAGGATCTGCTATTTAGGGTGCCCAGTCTGAGACACGTAAAACTGGATTTTTCACAGTACTTAGCATTTTAAGCTCCTGAAGCACAGCTCCCATTGATTTCCATTGCAGCTGAGAGTGCTCAGCACTTCTGTAAATCAGACCCCAGGTCTCAAGTTGAGCACCCAGACAGTGAAGAGAGAACTTTGTGACTACACCTCTACCCCAATATAACGCGACCTGATATAACACTAATTCGGATACAAGGCGGTAAAGCAGCGCTCCAAGGGGGTGGGGCTGCACACTCTGGCGGATCAAAGCAAGTTCGATATAACGCGGTAAGATTTTTTTGGCTCCCGAGGACAGCGTTATATTGGGGTAGAGTTGTACATCTGAAACTTGGTTTCAGTGACTGGCCCAGCATCACATAGGAATTCTGTAGCAAAGACAGGTGTGGTATCAAATTCTCCAAGGCAGCATTCAACTGCTTAGCCATCAGATAGGGGACCACACGAAGAGAAAAGACTCTGCACCTGCCAACTCCTGCAACAAATGGGGTAGGTGTCCTTCAGAAAACAGCCTTCTTCACTACACAACCCTGATTCAACCTCAGAGCAGGTCCTCTTTCACACTATATATGTACAAAGAGTCTTACTTTAGGTTGCACAGGTGCTGACTTTGACTAATTCTGATGTTCACTTTGCATCCTAAATGTTCTTTTTGTGTGTCTGTACTGGGATGGTTGCCATAGAAATGTCTATAGTACCAATTCCAGTAGTACATAAGCCTCTCGTATGCTAAAAGATCTATCCTACAAACACTTTTGTGAGGTGATATCCTAATGTTACAGACTGGGAATTGAGGTACAGAGACTAATACTTGATTGAAACAACAAAACCATACCCCTGACCCAGTTGTACAGTACAACCCCCTACTATGGATGCAGTTTTACTGGTATAAACCAGCCTTAAACAGGTATAGCTTATTTCTCCCTTTCTCATATGAAAATAAGCAATACCAGTATAACTGAGCCCATGCTGGAGGGGGGTTTGTGCATGTCACTTTACTATATAGGTTAATTAAACTGGTACAACTTTTGTGTGTAGAAAAAGCAAAAGTGACCTTGGCAAGTCACTGTGTCTGTGGGAAGAGTTAGGGACAGAACCCAGATCTGAATCTCATCCTTCCTCTCTCAACGCCAATATTGATTTTGTTTTTTCTGTGCAGTGTGGCTTTCTCCTGTGGTGCATGGCTCCAAGCCCTTCCAATGGAGCAGAGCTTCTGTACCACCGAATTATCCGCCCTTTGTTCTTGAAGCACGAGGCTCAGTTGGACAGTGTTGTGAAGGATCTGAAAGACAAAGCTGCAGAGACTGCAGATGTCATTACTAAAGAAGGTGAGACCAAGAAAGTAAACTCCACTCAAGGAGTGGGAATTTACCTTTATGATTTCAGGGCTGATGCCTTTTAAATGATTATTTTTTTGGCCTTAAAAGATGCTGCTTTTGCAGATATCTGGTGGGGTGTGTGTTGCCTTTGGAGCAAAGTAAAGGAGAAGGAGGATTGTAGAGGGCATAGATGCAGCAAGTACCACTTCTTTAGTTAGTGTGTGTGTGTGTGTGTGTGTGTGTGTGTGTGTGTGTGTGTCTACGTTAAGCAACAAATCTCTTGAAGGACACTGCTTGCATGAAATGGTCCAGTTATTTTGCTTGTCTCTACAACAGCTTAGCATGTCCATAAAGTGGTGTTATTAGTGAGAGAATCTATTCAGCTCATCACACAAGGCAATCCATACAACTTTAGGTATTCACTGCATTTTGGGTCACCTGAAGTACTTAAAATTTGATGCTGGGGAATAACTGCCAAATGTTTTATATGGCAAGTTGTTAATATTACTTGGAATTCAACACAAGGTGAAACATTACTACCTATTAAGTGTCTGTATTTTTCCCCTCCCAGAAAGCAAAATGTCTCACTCCCACTTTTTCTGGGTTTTTTTAACAAACAAACAAACAGTGATTTAGGTCTCGGGAGAAAAGTGAAATCTCTATAGTGACTCCTAGATGTACAATTGCTGGAGCTCAAGCAGCATGCTGAAATGGTTCAGAGAGGCTCGCACGGAGGGAAGAAGGCTGGAGGTTTTTCAGCCCTTATTTAGCTCCCAAGGAAGCCAGGCAGGAAACTTGCACTGTAAATGCCTCATGTAAAATATGGATGAAGGAAGGAGATGTAGCTGAACTTTCTGGAGTGTTTGAATCTAAATCTGAAGGGAGAGAAGCTTTTGTAATTTTTTTAGGAGTTTTCTTTGATTTCCCCGTTATCTTCTCTTACCTCTATTTTCCTACCCGAATGTAAATGACTCATTCTTTCCTGTTTTTCCAACGCTTTTGATGCATGACCTTTACTGAGACAAACATCTGTTTTGTAGACCAGATTTAAAGCACAATAACTTCTTTCTTCACAACTATTCTTGTTCTCCTAGTTATTGCCTGTTCTCTACTCCTGTCTTTTTTGCGTTCCTCTTACTTGAGTCTTGCCCTCTTGTTCTCTTTTCCTTCTCTTCCCCCCTTAAACACCCTCAGACACTAAGGTTTGCATATACCTGCTAAATCAGTGTGTTATTACAGCCCACTCCATCTGACTGATGGGCTGCTTCATTCTCTGGACATGTTATAGTGAAACTTTCAAAATATACACAGACCTTCAGGTACTACAGCTAGACCTGGTATATCCCATATTAAATAGTGCTCTTTTCTTAAGTTGGTCTGTGATCTTCACTGTGGTGCTAGCAATCTATGGTTGGTTTGCTGCAATAAAGATTTTCACAGAATCTGTTTCTACAAAACTTCACAGCCTTGATCCACCCCATTGTCAATTTTATTTGCCTATTTTAAAATGCTGGTTTTCCCTCAGCATTTGGAGGTAAAATGTAGATTTTTATTTCACAACTGCAGTCAATAGTGATTATACAGGCCTCTTATTTGTAGCAGGATAGAAATTTAACACTTTGTTTTCTCCCCTCCTCCAGCCAAGAAAGCTACAGTGAACTTACTGGGTGATGAGAAGAAAGGCATTTAAACTGTTAGCAGGATGAAGAAAGTTTCCCCCCCCCCCCCCACCCCCTTTATACAGCTCAATGTTACTGGAGACTGTGGTATAATAATTTTAATAATGTTGCCTTGGAAACATTTTTGATATATTAAAGGAACATGTTGTAAGTTTGCTTACTTTTATGTTGTCTGTATAGAAAGTAAGCACTTCTGTTTAAATGCAGTGCAATAGGCAGCATCTAAAGCTTATTGAAAACTTATCTTATTCATCTCCATGCAGGGGAAAGACCTTTCGGTAGTGTCTCATCTTGCCGTGAACACAAACTTAAATAAAATTATATCTATATCCCACAGGCTCTGCACTTCACAGTTTGTTTCTTTGTGCATGCATTCTCTGTATTTACAGTTGTTAACATTTGACTGGTTCTTCCTGTAACGTATCATTTTTGTATGCAAAAGTAATGCGTTCTTCTTGGATTTTCATGCATATGTGTTTGCATATACAGGAAATAAATTATCAGAGGGAAGTGGCTTAATACATGTATTCCCCACCAGTGAAGCCAACCGCACTATGCACTTGGTCATGGAGATTCATGTTGTTGCATGTACCACTTGTAACCTGCAGTATTCAGTACAAAGTGTGTGTGTTCAATATTAAATGGGTAGTTCTTAAATGTAGAAAAGAGCACGTTAGTGCAAATGACCAGGGTTATACTGGTGTGAAGTTATTTGCCAGAAATGGATGCATTGAACTGCTGGTGCAAACTGACTAAAGCATAACCCCTGACTTGTTTGTTAAATGGAATTGGCATGTGAAACGGTTCAGGAATGGAGTGCCTTACAAATAAAATTACACTCAGAGAAGCAGAAAGCAACTGTAAAAAAAAATCAGATCTGCTGCAACGAGTTGTAGAAATATCTGCTGAAGTCAGTTACAATTTACACTGTAATCATGGGGCTTGCCTCTTACCTTGTTTGTTCCCATCAACCCCTTCCTCCCTTTACAAAAGGTGTTGTCTACTCTGGCTACATAAGGAGATGTGGGTCTTCCCCCTATTACCCACTAAATCAGAGCCTATGAAATGCATGGGCATCAAAAAACCTCTTACAGGGGAAGAAGTAAAACATCTAGGTTACTTAATTGGACAGGACCAGAGCAACACAAATGTGACCAAAGCCTTAAAAATAATTCCTACAAGTCAAAACACTCTGGCCCTTTACAATCTGTGCTTGCATTTACTGTTAGCATTACTATTTTATTTGAATTTTGAGATATATTCACACTGTACACAACTTTGTAGTTTTACATCATGTTCTCTTCCTTGGCATTATGCCCTGCGATGTTTCCTTAGAGCTTGCTGGCTTTGCATCATTTTTAAAATATAAATAGTTTTTCCATATTTATAATTGTGGCCCAGCCCATGTACCTTAAGGAAAATGCATTCCAATTAATGTAGAGAAGCAAACAACCTGTGAAGGTTTCTAGTTTCCCACAAAAACACACTGAATTCTCCAACTTGAGAATGAGACAGCCAGGGTTAATCCATCAGGGATCTCTCAATGCATGAAACAATACAAAAATGTAATATAGCAGCTTCAGGGTTATATCTGAAATAGGTTTTTAAATCAAAGCTAGACTAATGAAGAGGTATCACGTATGCCTTAGAGCATAATCTGTAATCAAGAGAGCAATTTAAATAAAATGGGAGGTAGTGAGAACTCATTGCTAGTAAGGAATGTGGGTGATTTAAGTATATTTTCCCCCCAAAAGGCCAGGTTTGCATGCTGAATGGAGAACTTGAAATAGCACAGCTTGCAGACAAGTATATATTTTGTATGTTTGGCTGGTAAAACTCCCCCTTGCTTTGTGACCACTTTTTGCTACAAGCTGGTCTAATGCATAGAACAACAGATAAAGGTAACTTTGAAACTGAGCAAGTGGAGCAGTGCCACAGGCAGATATCCTCATTAACTGTGACCTACCCTTAAATTACCTGTTGGTACGGTCGTGGCGTTCCCTGCCTCCTTAGTCCTCTAGAATTTTAATGGGAAGGGCTATTGGAACTTTCAGTTCAAATTGAGTTTCTTGCCCTACTTTTAGGAATGCCTCAGAGCAAAGGTTCTAGGTAGAAGAGCTCAAGGGGTGGGTGAAGGGTACTTAACTATTCAAAGTGCTGTGGTCTTTCCAACTCTTCCCATGCAAACAGGAAGTTTTCCCTTTGTCTCTAAAGGCCATTGCGGACAAAGGAGGGGTACAGCGTGACTGCAGGTCACTAAAGTTGGGAGGGTTGCCACTATTTCCAACAAACTATTTTAGATGATGAGGAAGGGGTCAAAACAGCCAATCCCTAGCATTAAGCATTGGATAGCTATGACACTGGCTAACTTACAGCACCCCTGCAGCTAACAAAAGTGTGAACAGCACAGTATAAACTTAGCTAGATCAGGAATGGAAGTGCAATAGTAACCTAAAAAACTAGTAATCGTCCTCTGGGTTTCACTTCTGCTAAGAATTGCAATGTAAAGGTAGTCTGAGGAAAAGCTTTAGTATCCTCCTCAGTGCTACATTTTAGTGGAAGTCCTATGAAAATGGAGATAGTGGAATTTTGGGGGGCCATAACCCATTTTAATTCGTTTTATGCACTTTAAATCAGCTCTGCACAAGCTGGTCAGCTTGTGCCACTAACATTATTGACAGTTTCTTTTTTAGAAGGATGTTAAAACACTTGAGAATTTTTAGGTTTAACAGCAGCAATACCCATGAAGTATGATACTCAGTAACTGAAAAGAACTAGTATCCGAGGGGTAGCCGTGTTAGTCTGAATCTGTAAAAAGCAACAGAGGGTCCTGTGGCACCTATAAGACTAACAGAAGTATTGGGAGCATAAGCTTTCG